CCAGCAAGGTGTCACATCTCCACCAGGAGCCTGGAACAGACCCTGCCTGGGACCGTAGATGGTGGTTCTCCATAGTGGCCCAGCCCAGTCTCTTGGTTGACCAAGTTTGGGGGTGAGGGAATGGTTCCAGGAGCTTCCTTAGGGGTAGCAGCCCTGTCTAGGTCTGTAGATGGAGGTGGTCTGTGCCGCACCCTCACTCACTGGGCCCCTCTCACCCGTACTCCACTCTCTCTCCTCTCCATCAGCATCGGGGCCTTCGTGAAGACCTGGCTGCCCTTCATCCTTCTCCTGGGCATCATCCTAACCATCAGCCTGGTCTTTAACCTTCGGTGATGGCTACCCCATGGCCCTGGACCACCATGCTCCTGAGGAGGCAGCCGCCACCCCTTTTGGTTCCAGATTCTTTCTCCTCGCCCCGAAAGGCAGGGATGGGCCTATTGGTTTTGACCCAGGGGTCTGGGCTAGGTGGGTTGAATAAGGCCTGAGGATGAGCATGGGGTGTGGGGTATTTGCTTTTTGTGTCTTACTGGTCACTCAGACGCTTTCTGTCCCCTGCTTCCCAGGCTTGTGACTCCTGCCCTTGAGGCACTTTCTTTGTTCATCTGTTGGAAAGGCCTTAGCTTCCCTCTGTAGAGCTGTTCCTGCTACTGCCTGCTGGGCTCCCTCTGCCTCAGCCCAGTGCCCAGTGAGGGAAGGGAGGACATTTGGACTCACCAGACAAGGAGGCACAGGGGCCAGAGCTGGATTTGAAGCCCGTCCCCCTGCCAGGGCTCTGGTCCCAGCGTGGGTGAGTTACACTAAGAAGTCTCCATAAGCTAAGCTTCCCTGGGGCCTTTGCTCCACTGGCCTCTAGAATGGTCCAGTAGGCTGGATGGGCTCCCTTTTGGATGCTTGCCAGAAGCTGCACTAGGGGTAGTTTGTGCCCCATCTCCTGGCATCCTCTGGCCCATGCAGCTCCCTCTTCCCACTCTCCTGGGGCCTCCGAGCACTAGAGCCCACCTCCCCCTGCAGTTTGGGACCTGGGCTCCCCCAGCCAGGCTGGAGAGATGAGAGATGAGTGACATTGACATGTCCAGAGTGGCCCCCTCTAGATCAGAACAGTGTAAACAAAGCTCAGCCCCAGTCCCGGCTGTGGGCCTCGCACTGGTGATGGCACCCTCGGGTCCAAGATGTGGGGAGGCGTCAGAGCAGCCAGCGCCATCAGGGAGCTGTTTCCTCCCACCTACCACAGCTTCCCCTTCTCTTCAAGTTGTGGAAAGGGCCTGTGCTGCCCCCTCACCCCTGTTCCACGGATTCCTTTGTGTGGGCTCCTGGGGCAGGATAATAAAGAGTTTTGACTCCAGACGGTGCTTTGTCCTTCAGTGGCCCCCTCGCCCCTTCAGCTCCTATCTTCTTGGTGTCCTTGGGTATCCCTGCCCCCACAGCGAGGAATCTGGTTCACAAGGTCATAGTTGAGTCCTCATCCAGTGCCTGGAACTTAGAGGGACATCAGCATCCCTCAGGTGCATCCTGCCCTGGGCCCAGGCTGTGGGAGCTCCACACAATCCCACATCCACTGTCCCAAAGCTTTCTTCTCGAGGCAAGTGTGTATTGAAACGCCTCACATGTTCCCTGTTGGGAAAAACTTGGCAGTCAGATTGAGAGTTGGGGCTGGGCAGGCTTGAGGCCTGGACCTGGCCCCTGCTATGTCCATCAATCACATTGCCAAGTTCCTCGTGCTGAGCCCCAGTGATCTGGTCACTGCCCTGCTCCATAGCGCCTCCACTTCATGGCCTTCAGGGCCCTGCAGGCTCCTCACTCTCCATGTACCCTACTCTGCAGCAAGACAGGGCAGCACCTGTTCTCCAGCACCTGCCCACTCCTGGTCCTTTGTTTCCACCTGTTGAAATCGTAGCCTTCCTTCCCAAGGCCCAGCCTAAAAGCCACTTGCTGGGTGAAGTCTCTCCCAACCCTGCCCTATGCCATGGATCACTTTAGTTGAACTAGCAAAGGATTTGGTCTCTGAATCCTGAAGAGCCTTTGTATTCATCCTCAGGATGGCCTTGAGGACAGCTCTAGCTGCTGGCCCTCAGGGCCCTAGATCAGGCGTCTGTCAGCTCATCCCAGACCCTGCAGTGCTCTGCGTTCCAAGCCTGGGGTTTCTTCAGGGTGAGGCAGAGGTGCCCCCTCCCTACTTCAGAGCAGCTCCCATTTTCAAAAATCTGTTTTGCATATTGGGGTCCATCTGAGAGTTGCTTGGGAGTGGAGAAGTTCCAGTATGGAGGACCACAGTAAAATGGATAGAAAAAAGTTTTAAGGGCTATTCCTGCCCAGCAGAACTTTAAATTAGCCTTGGAGAGACAGAACATACATAGGTGCCATAAAAATCACCAACAGTTATTGGGTGCTTACTATGTGCTAGGCTTTGTAATAAAGTATCATTTTTCCTCACCACAGCCGTATGAGGTAGGTGCCATCATCCCCATTTTACACATGAAGAAATAAGCACAGAGAAGTGATTTGCTCAAGGTCACAGAGGTAGGAAGAGGAACCAGGTTCCAGCAGCCTGGCTCCAGAGCCCCTACGCAGAACCACCCTGTAAGATGGCCTCACTGGAGCACGAGGAGGGAAAGTGGGGAGGGACTGTTTCTGCAAAGGACTGGGGTGCTGTGACTGACAAGAAGGGTGAATGGAAGCTGGAGGCAAGAAAAGGAAAACACTCCTTACATAGTCCTATGGGATGGCTGCTATTGTCCCTGCTTTATAAAGGGAGAGAGTGAGGCTTACAGAGATTGTCATTGATCCAAGGCCACGGGGGACCATGTGGCAGAGCCAGAATTTTAACCTAGATCTGGGGCCTCTTGACCGTGGGGAGTTGCCTAGAGACACTGCAGTGCAGAGGCATTGAGCCCCCTGGAAAGGGTGGCGGGCAGGTGGGGAAAGTGTTCTGCAGTTGAGGAGTAGGGAGCACAAATGGACCAGGGTGATGAAGGGACAGAAAGCAGAGTCTGTAGGTAAGGATCTAAGGATGTAGAAGACAAGGACGGTCAGAGCCAGGTAGGGGTCCTGAGGGTTGGGCTGAGGGGTTGGGCAGCCCACAAGGAGGATGGACCGTCTTGGGAGGTGTGAGACTTCAGTGAAAGTGTCTAAGGGAGGCTGGGCTGGTTTGGAGCAGATTTGTTAAAGGATCAGAAGGTTACCCCGGCTGACTGCTGGCACCTTCCAAAGCTGAGGAATGACAGATAAAAGTGTGTGCTGAAAGGGCCCTCTGACAGTTGTGCAAGCAAGGGCTGGAGGGGCCGAGTGGGGAGGCCAGGAGACAGGAGGAGGCCTCCAGAAGAGGCTGGGTGGGGACTGAGACCCGGGCAGTGAGAGGGCGATGGAGATGGGGGAGGGCTGGGGGACGCGTGGGACAGCACCCGGAGAGGAGGGGCAGTCTGGTGACTGGCAGGAAGCAACAGGAGACCTGGGGCCGGGACATGGGGGCTGTTCACAGAAGTGGAAACTTGGAAATAAGAGAAGGTTTCAGGAGGGGAGGATACAGAGTAGTTCAACTTGAGAAGACAGTGGGAAAGTTGGATGGAAATATCAGAGTCCAATAGAGTCAAAGCTGTAAGGACAGGAGATGAGAGAGAGGAAGGGAATTTAGAAGCCAGAAGAGTAGACAGTGAAGTTTGATGCCTTCCAGGGGTGAGGGCTGCTGAGAGGGAGTGGGGGAGCCAGAGAAACATCCTTGGGAGGAGCCAGGACAGGATGGCGGGAAGGAGTGAGGATGCTGTTGGTCACTCTCCTCCCATTCTGGGAGACTTAACGGAGGAGGTGGGCATCAGTAACAGCTCCCACCATGGACACTCCATGGATATTGCATATGCAAATGCATATGTATTTATTAAGGGCCTGCAGGGATCTCAATGAATTGTAGTGAAAACCATCTGAAGAGGGATTATTACCCCCATTTAACAGATGAGGTTCAGAAAATAACATTGATTTGCAAAAAAATAAATAGTAAAGCTGGACTTTGGGCTGGGGGTGGAAGAGGGGTCCTGAGGTGCCCAGAGTGGTGGTAACATTTGGGAGCCGGTTCCATGAGGGGGAGGAGAAGTGGAGTTTCATTTAGAGTCCACTCCTTGCCCCACCTCCTCTCTTGGAGGGTCTGTGAGGTACCCTCTAATCTTTAAGCCATCACAGTGGGTGGGAAAGGACATGCAGAGTGGAATGAAGCAGACTTGGGGGGATCTGGAAGCTTTGGTGTGGCCTTAGTTTATGGTCCCAACGCAAAGGTAATTTGGGCCCAAATCTATTCTCAGGGTAGGGCAGAATCTGGGAGGATTCTCAGAGGAGCTCCCCATGGACAGAGGAAGAGTGTGGGAGCCTCACTTTGGCCTCAGAAGAGTCCAGGCCTCCTCAAACAGACGGGGCCTAGGGTGGCAGAAGGACCGGAGAGCAGCTCTGGTGTGGCCAGCACTGCCCGGGAGGCGTATGTGGACATGGAGGGGCAGTGGTTGTCAAAATGAACCATGTTGGAGAGGGGCCACCTGGTACCTACTATATGCCAGCTTGCACCAGGCACTGTCATTTCCTTTATAATAGGTTCTTCGCACTCTGCTGCCCACAGTTTGCATAGGAGGAAATTGCAGCTCAGAATGGTTAAGAGACCTGCTTAAGGTCACACAGTGGCAGAACAGGAACTTTACTCAGGGTTGTCTGACTGCAGTCTGCAATCCTTCCACTGCTCTTAGAAAGGTTTCTAACTGCTTTCAAAGCAGGTTCCTATCAGCTCCCCAGCAGGTGGGGTGGGGCTGCTACCCATTCTGTGGACAGAGCAGCCAGGGTTCTGAGGGGTTGGAGGAGTTACAGAGTAAGTCTGCAGTGGAGATGGAGCCAAGCCCCAGCCATTTCCCACCCACCAAATTGGCTCTGGGTTTTCTGAAAGCCAAGGCTGGGGCATGCCCCTGGGGAGCCCAAGTCCAGGCCCGGTTTTGCATCAGGCCCTGCTGAGAAGGTGTTCCTCCTCTTCCTCCTCCTCCTGTAGGGCAGCCACTGGGCTGAGCTGCCTGTTGAGTCAGCCTTAGTCCCTCACTGATATTCTCCTAGACCCTGAAACTCGGCTGCCAGGGGAGCTGGGGTCACCCTACGAAGGCGTCCCCTCCATACTGGACCCCTACAGGTAAGACACCTCGGGGCTGGGAGTCCCCTACCAGTGTCCCGAGGGGCAGGCACTGCCACTTGGTATCCTGAGCACCCTCTGGGACCTGGGGTGGGGGAGGCGGGAGCGTCCTAGGACTAGAACAGCCAGACAGATGGACAGACCCTTTTATTGACCAATGGGTCTGTCCCATAGTGTTGAAACAGGGCAGGAAGGACCAGACACTTGATTCTGCCTCTGGAAGGAGAGGGGACTACACAGAGGTGGGTGCTGCTGGGGACCCTGGGCTCAGATGCCCACAGCCCAGCCCAGGCAGACCTGTGTGATAAGGGCTGGGTCAGCTCTGCAGAACATCCCCCCACCTCTACACTCATACACACACACCTGATGGCCCTTAGGGCACCAGAGTACACACCACGACACACAGCCCAGTCACACAGCATAGGAGGAAATACACACACAATGCACACACCACACAGTGCTGTCATCCAGAAAGTTACTGAACACACCACAGAGCCAATAGTCACCCATGCAGCATCACACTGTGTGTGACATGACACAGACACACACGCAGTAATACAATATTCACACCCACAAAATATACAGGCTCACGGACCCCACAGTACGCAGACATGCCTGCCGGACAGAGACTCTCACAACGGAACAGCTCAACACAGAGACATCAACACGGGCTCACGCACCATGCCACAGAAGGGCCCCAACAGTGCGTTTGCAACACCCAGAGCCTTGAACACAGCAGATGTTCAGGAAATATTATTAATGTCGAGCACACAGGTGTTCACACAGTGTTATACATGATACCCAATGTAGACGTGCAGGAACCCCAGGCTCCGGGTGAGTGGGGCGCAGCAGGGGAGAGGGCTCGCTGCTCTAGTTTGGACACTGACTCAGCTGGGAGGGCACAGAGCGCAGGCGGCAGGCACAAGCCAGGACCTGCCTGCTGAGCCGCCCTCTTCCCATCTCAGCTATACCTGGTGCTCTGGCGTGGGAGGGGACAGGAGGGGCGGGGAGGAGAGGAGAGACCGCCCAGTGGGTTCAGGCCACCGCTCTACTCTGCCCATGGCCCAGTCATGGGCCCCTTGCCACGTCCACATGCCCCTCAGGGCTGGGCAAATGTTTTCCTTCCGGAGTCACTGTGGTACCTGAGAGGCCTGAGCTGCTTTGCCAGCACTCGGCCTCCACCACCGGGACACCAGCCAGGTCCTGGGTCGGGAGGTGGGGGACCCATGTGGCCAGAGCACAGGGGCCCAGGGGCTTCGGGCAAGAGGGCAGGGCTGGCAGTAGGGGCATCCCTCAGCTGGAGGCCTCAGTGGGAGTGGGTGCGGCGGTTACCTCGGGGGGAGGAAGTTGGGGGTGTGGGCTGGGGAGGAGGTTGCCTCAGACAGGAAGGCCAAATGAGCCAGTGCAGGGTGGAGGTGAAGGGTGAAGGGAGGGGACCAGGGTTGGGAGGTTCCCAGACAGGGGGGTGGGCAGAAATGTGTGTGTGCCTGTGTGTCTGTGAGTGTGTTTGTGTGTGTGCATTCCCCAGCGTGTGTGTAGATCTATTTCTGCATTACCAACCATCTGTTGTGTGCAAAGTACTGGCTGTTCCTACCTTCAAGGAGCTCGCTATCCAGTTGGGCGTAATATGTGTGTGCAAAAGTCTGTGTGATTTGTGTCCATCTAGGGACATGTCTTTGTCCTGGACCTATTCTTGTACAGGTGAACCCACCTGTGGGGCCCTGTCTCCCTTGTGCACACATGCCCATGTGCAGGCTTAAGCCTGTGGGTATGTCTCTTGCTTTGGACGTGGGTCTGGGCTATGACTGCATAGGGCCCTTCATGGAGGAACAGGTGTGCATGTGCCTGTCCTTATCCAGGTATCAGTGTGCATGTGTGATCAGGTGTACATCTCACTATGTGTAGTTGTGTCTACTTGTATCAGTGTGTGTGCATGTGTGTCTCTGTAAACGTCTTCTTTTTTTTTTTTTGAGGAAGATCAGCCCTGAGCTAACATGCATGCTAATCCTCCTCTTTTTTTTTTGCTGAGGAAGACCGGCCCTGAGCTAACATCTATTGCCAATCCTCCTTCTTTTTTCGTTTTTCCCTTTTTCTCCCCAAAGCCCCAGTAGATAGTTGTATGTCATAGTTGCACATCCTTCTAGTTGCTGTATGTGGGACACGGCCTCAGCATGGCCGGAGAAGCGGTGCGTTGGTGTGCACCCGAGATCCGAACCTGGGCCGCCAGTAGCAGAGCGCACGCATTTAACCGCTAAGCCACAGGGCCGGCCCCTCTGTACACGTCTTCGAGTGTGTCCCTGAGTGGGTTCATGGGCCAGTGTATGCATGTGTCCATGGGTGCATCTCATGCCACCTTGATCTCAGCCTCCCTGGGGCTGTACCCTGCCCACCACCTGGCATATATTTGGGCAGAAAAGGGCAGTTGGCTCCAGGATGTGCCCTGTATTTGGGCAGGGCTTGACCTGACCGCTGGTCTATCCCCAGGGAACCACGTATGCCCAGCTGGGGCACTGCCCCAGCCGATGCCCCAGAGGGGCCACCCATCTCAAGAGGGGCTCTGGGCCCCACCCTGCCTCATGGCGCATGAGCCAGAGCCCGAGACCAATGGACTGTTGGACCTCAGCTTCCTGACGGAGGAGGAGCAGGAGGCCATTGTCGACGTCCTGAAGCGAGATGCCTGCCTGCGCCAGCTGGAGGAAGGGCGGGTCAGGTGAGGCAGGGCATGGGGGGGAGCCCAGGGGGAGGGGGCCTCAAGCATTGGGAAGCTGGGGTGGCCCCCCCCGCCCCCACCAACATGCAGCCTGTGTGATAACTGGGTACTTCTTGTTTTTGCCCTTTGGTCCCCTCTGCCCCTGCCCAGCTCAGCTCAGCTCATCACCTCTCCCAAGGTAGCTGCACCAGCTCCCTTGCCAGCCTCCCTGTCTCCAGGCTTGCCCACTCCAGCCCACCCACCATGCTGCAGCTGGAGCTCCCCAGATCTGTCCTAATATCCCCTGCTGAAACCTCCCATGGCTCCTCAGCACCTCGTGTCAGGGGCAAGCTCCTAAGCATGGTCCACAAGGCCTCCTTGATTGGTCCCTGCCAGCCTTCCCCATGTCATATTCTACCAGTAACCCCACCCCCGACACACACTCAAAGTGTCTACTACAGCCACCCGGGTGCTCCACTGTCCCTGAACACACCCACCCTTCACTTCTAAGCTGTTCCTTCTTCCTGGAAGAGCACAGTGGCAGAGGAGCGTGGGACTTACAAATACTGTTTGGAGAAAGACACCTCCTAGCTATGTAACCTTGGGCAACTCACCTGACCTCCCCAGCACCACTCTCCTCATCTGTAAAATGGGGCTAAGGAGCCTTACCTCATAGAATTAGGATGGATTATGCACAGTAGTCACTTAATGAATAATAATTATTCTTCTGTACCCGGAGAACTCCAATTTGTCCATTAAGAAACTATTCAAATGTTATCTCCTCTGGGAAGCCCTCCTGAATTCCCACAGGCAAAGCTGGCCCTTCTCACATCTGTCACGGCATCTACCTCACTATAGCGTACTTGTCTATTCTGGACTCATTCTCCCCACCAGCCTGAGCTCCTCCAGAGCAGGGATCGAGTCTGATTTGCTGTCGTGTCCCTGGCCCCAGGTACAGGGCCTGGCACAGAGTGGGTGGCAGGAATGTTGGTTGGGTGAGTGGGGACAGCCATGCTCTCCCTTATCCTCCAGCAAACTCCGGGCCTCACTGGCAGACCCCGGACAGCTGAAAATCCTGACAGGGGACTGGTTCCAAGAAGCTCGCTCCCAACGGCACCACCATGCCCACCTTGGCTCTGACCTTGTCCGAGCCTCTATCCGTAGGAAGAAGAGCTCTAGAGGTGAGAGGAGATGCCCAGGGTGGGGCAGGCCCCGTGCAGCCCGGGATACTGGGTGTATGTGGACAGGGAGAGAGGGCCCCTGGGTTTCAGTCCTGGCTGCCCCTGGTACTGTGTGTCTTTGGGTGGGTACCACCCCTCCATGGGATACAGGAGGTGGGTGGCATCTCCAAGGGTCAGAATTCCTGAGAACAGGGTTTCACAGAATTTCTCACCTGTGCACAGGAGACCAGGCTCTGGGCAGCAATAGGGAGGCTGAGGCTGCTGGGAAAGAGACTGAAGAGGAGCTGGAGCCCAGGTGAGGAGGCGTGGCAGGGAGGGGAGGGTGCCTACAGTCCCTTGGGTCCCATCCCTGACAACCACCTCTCCCTACTCCTAGGCTCCCCATAGACAAGGCCCCCCAAGAGAGGCTCAGCGAGGCTGAGGTGAGTAATGAGTGAATGGACAGTGCCCCTGGAGTGGAGGTGGGATGTGCTGGGGAAAGAGCCCCAGCCTGAGAATCAGGAGACCCTGGTCTGGGCCTTTGTCATCCTCCTCTGTCAAATGGAGGTATGGACCCTGCCTCTAAGGGAATCTCTGAATCCTGCTATTGGGGTGAAGTGGGGACTGACCTGGGTGAGGCCCAGGACTGGTCCCATTGGTGGTGTAGCGTGAAGGGGGTGTGAAATACAGGCCCAACTGGTCCTGCAGCTGGTTGCCAGCCCTGCCCTGAGGGCTGTGCTAAATCTGAAGCTGGGGTAGCCAACTGGAGCTTCTGACCTCTGACCCCATCATAACCTTTGAACCCTTCATCACTAGCCCCCACTGTGACCTCTACCCCTTGCTTCTTTCAGGGACCTGATTTCCCCTCACCATATGTCCCCCCAAAGTCTTCAGATCATGAGGAGGAGCCCCAGGCTCAGGAAGGCAAGTGGGAGGGTGTGTGTTGGGGAGCACAGAGAGGTTGTGGGGATCAGAAGCAGCTCTAAGTGACCCCAACCACCTGTCTTGACCTTCCTCCTCCTGCCTTGGGGGAGAGGGGGAGGCACGTGGTCTCCATGGGCGACCCCAGAGCAGCTCTGGGGCCTGAATCTGCAGGTCACAGGAGTTGTAAACCAGTCCCTCCAAATTTGCTCAGGGGCGGGCGGAGAGGGGCTCTCTCAACAGCTTGTACCCCACCCCAGCTCCTGGCCCAGGGGGCGCGCAGGTCGACGCCGCCGAGGGGGCGGACCCGGAGCCCGAGCCACCGTCGCTGTCGCCGGGAAAGGAGGAGCCGCAGCCCCGCCCAGCCCAGGTAGGCGGGAGCGGCCGACGGCTGCTCTCAAGACCCGGAGCAGACTTTGGGCGGGGAGTGCCGCTGCCCAGGGCTGCGAGCCCTCCGGGACCGAGCGCGGTCGGGGAAGGGGCTGGGAGAAAAGGGGCGTCCCCGTCACTTCCCCCTTGCCCAGACCCAGGCAGCGGCCGAGATCCTGGAGAACGGGGAGGAGGCCCCGGGGCCCGGCCCCTCACTCGACCGCATGCTCAGCAGCAGCTCCTCGGTGTCCAGCCTCAACTCCTCCTCGGTGAGCGAGTGAGGGAGACGGCCTTGTGGGGGGGACCTCCCCTCCCCATATCCCGTCGAATAGCCCTTGCACGACCCCTCCCTCGACCATGGACTTGACACTGTAGCCCCCAGGCAAGCCCCCTCGAAGTGCCCTTTACCTCTTCGCCTCGCTTTACCACTATCCCCCCATCTGAACCCTCCGCGCTCCCCTCAGCCCCGACGTGAGCCCTGCACGCCCGCCCTAACTCCGCACCCCACCGCCCGCAGCTGAGCGGCAGCCAGATGAGCCTGTCCGGGGAGGCGGAGGCGGGCGCGGTGCAGGTGCGCGGCTCCGTGCACTTCGCGCTGCGCTACGAGCCGGGGGCCGCCGAGCTGCGCGTGCACGTGATCCAGTGCCAGGGCCTGGCCGCCGCCCGGCGCCGCCGCTCCGACCCGTGAGTGCCGGACGCCGGCAACCAGCCCCGCCCAGCCCCACCCCTTTTCTTGGCCTCAGTTTCCTCATCTTCAAACTGAGAATAGGCGCGGGGGTGGAGTGAGATGACTCCCGTAAAGCGCTGCACGAGGCCTAGCGCGGGAAGCTGTGTTCCGGGCTGTGGCTGGGGGACACCCCCTCCCAGCAGGGCAGTAGGAGCTGGAGGGGGGCCCCCCTTACCTCTCTGGTCCTCACCTCCTCCACCCTAGCTACGTCAAAAGCTACCTCCTCCCGGATAAGCAGAGCAAGCGCAAGACGGCAGTGAAGAAACGGAATCTGAACCCGGTCTTCAACGAGACTCTCCGGGTGAGGCTGCGACGACCGGGCGGCCCCCCATTAATGAACCGAACGCCCCTTCCTGCGGGGGCTGGGTGGCAGGGGCAGCTTTAGTATCATCATTGCCCGTCGCTCTGATCATTCTGCAGGGAGGTCCTCCCATTAACGCGCTCTCCAGTATGTCAGTCTAGTGGCGGGCATGGCGCTAGTCCAGACCCCCATTGATGCCCTTCGGGGCTCCCCAGGATTCCATCCTGCACGGAGCGTGGTAGGACAAGCCCCAATCAACACTCCTGCAGCACTGGAGCGGGGCCATCAGCGGTGCGCCATTAAAGCACACCTCCTGTCCCCAGTACTCCGTCCCGCAGGCCGAGCTCCGGGGCCGCGTGCTGAGCCTGTCCGTGTGGCACCGCGAAAGCCTGGGTCGCAACATCTTTCTGGGCGAAGTCGAAGTGCCCCTGGACACGTGGGACTGGGACTCCGAACCCACCTGGCTCCCCCTGCAGCCCCGGGTGAGGCAGCTGGCCCGCGCGGGGGGCCCCGCGGCATAGATCTCCCGCCTTTACCCCACTGGGCTTTCCCTCAGCCCGCCTCAGACACCGCCTGCGACAGAGCCTCCCCTCGGCCTGGAAACCTTAAGGCCCCATGCAAAGGCCTGGTCCCGGACGGCGAGTGCCACGGGCGCGCTCAGATCCTCTTGGCTGGTCTCTCGAGGCCCCGCCCCCACTGGCCCCGCCCTCCCCGCTAACCACGCCCCGCCGGTGTCTGGAGACCCCACCCCCTTATGACCCCTTTCCCTTGGGCCCTGTCCCCGCCCCTTGACGACCCCGCTTCTCGCAGGTCCCGCCCTCTCCCGACGACCTTCTCAGCCGCGGACTTCTCTCTCTGTCCCTCAAGTACGTCCCCGCCGGCTCCGAGGGTGAGTGACTGCCCGCTAGAGGCCAAGCTGGACGGACGGGCCCTGGGAGGTGGGGAGTGCTGTCCAGCGAGGGTGGGGGGACTCTGTCCGTGAGGCGGGGCCTGAGCCGAGCCTCTCTGCAGGCGAGGGACTGCCCCCAAGTGGGGAGCTGCACTTCTGGGTGAAGGAAGCTCGGGACCTCGTGCCGCTGCGCTCAGGATCTCTGGATACTTACATACAATGGTGAGGGGCTTCAAGACCTCCCCGCTTCCCTTCCTTTCGCCTGCAGTGGAGCTCCCCACCTCTGACAAACCCCTTCTAATCACCTACCCTTGATCCACAAGTCTGGACTTCCACCACTGAGCAGGGGTGAAGGGGACGGCTTGAGCAAAGGCCTGGGGTCAGGAGGGTTGAAGACACCTTTGAGGAGCTGCATTTCAGAGTGACTGGCGCCTATAGGACTTGGAGAGCTGAGACTGAGACCTGGGAGGTCGTAAGAGCCCTTCCATGGAGGACCTTGAAGGCCAGGCTGTGGGGCTTGGCTTTGAACTTGCAGTTCAGTGGTTTTCTTTATAATTTTATTTATTTATTTATTTTTTCCCCCAAAGCCCTAGTAGATAGTTGTATGTCATAGCTGCACATCCTTCTAGTTGCTGTATGTGGGACGCGGCCTCAGCATGGCCAGAGAAGTGGTGTGTCGGTGCGCGCCCGGGATCCGAACCCGGGCCGCCAGTAGCGGAGCGCACGCACTTAACCGCTAAGCTATGGGGCCGGCCCAGTTCAGTGGTTTTCAAAGTAAGCTCCCGGGGGACCTCTAGGGGTGCTCCAGGTGCTGCCCCACTCTTAGAGAGTGAAATAGAGGTGGGCCGATCAGGTTCTGAGTTCCCAGCTCTGATTCAACCAGAGACATTGTTGTTCTTTTCGGTTTTGTACTTTGAGTAATATTTTATCTTGCAGAAAGGGCTCTAAGGCTTTAAAAAATTTGGAAACTGCTTCTGGGGGGCAACAGGGAGCCAGTGAAGATCACTGAGCTGGGGAGTAGCAGAACTGCATTTCAGAGACATTACTCTGGTCTGAGGTCCTGTGAATAGGAGTTGTAATTTTTAAAGGCAGGAGACCTGAGAAGAGGCTGGTGCAAAGGTTCCACAGGGTAGTGAGGGTTTGAGGCTAGATCTCAGGCAGGAGCCAGAGGACATGGACATTGTGAGGGAGTATGGGTAGGACTTGGTGACTGGTTGGTTCTGGGGAGTGTAAGGGGGTGGTCACTTGATGCCAGCCCACCTCCCCCACAGCTCGGTGCTGCCTGATGACAGCCGGGCCAGCCGCCAACGGACAAGGGTGGTGCGACGCAGCCTCAGCCCCGTGTTCAACCATACCATGGTTTATGATGGTTTTGGGCCTGCTGACCTGCGCCAGGCCTGTGCCGAGCTCTCCCTCTGGGACCATGGGGCCCTGGCCAGCCGCCAGCTGGGGGGCATACGCCTCAGCCTGGGCACTGGTGAGTGGGGCAGGGCCCTGGAGGGGAGCCGATGCTGGGAGGCAAGGGCTCAATGTGTGGCCTTGGGCACATCTCTGCCCTTTCCTGAGCTTTGGCGTCCACTGAGAACTGGAGGTGAAGTGCATAATCTGGGACCAGGCGGTGTTCCTTGGGACCTGGGGTGTCCAATGTGACCATGCCCTCCACCCCCTGCCCACCCGCATCCAGGCAGCAGCTATGGGCTCCAGGTGCCCTGGATGGATTCCACACCTGAGGAGAAGCAGCTGTGGCAGACACTCCTGGAGCGACCATGTGAGTGGGTGGATGGCATTCTGCCCCTCAGAACCAACCTGGCCCCCAGGACATAGCTGCCCTACAAGCCCTCCCAAACAGGAGTTTGGGGACCAACCATCTCTGGACCACCATCTCAGGGCCTGCCATTGGCTAAAGTCAATAAAGTCTATCCAAGGGCAATAAGGGGCTGATGTCTGCTTGGAAGGTGGGAGGGTGATGGTAGGAAAGAGCCAGGGATGTGAAGGGGGCCAGGTGAAGGAACTTTAGACTTTAGGGAGCTGGTCCCAGGACCCCCCCATACCTCAGAAGTTGCCAAGGTCCAAGGGTACAAAAGTGTTCTGTTTAATAGTCTTTGCCTGGTGGTACTCAATGAGCTTGGGGTGTCTCTGTGGTTGATTCCCCCCACTGGGGCTAGGCCCAGGCCCTACCCTGCCCCCCACCCACCTGGCCTCCTCCAGTTGCCCCTGGGTCCCAGGGCAGGTGTGTCAGAAGCTGCTTGTGTCTCCTCCATTCATCCATCCTTGGGTCTGGCCTCCTGCCTCTGATGCCCTCATTCAGCCTCCTGGGGTCCCAGGGTCACTGGTGTGGACCCTGCTCGCTGTGCCAAGATGGCTTTCCAGATGCGGCATACCATCCCTCCCCTAGGGGAAGCAGCCTCAATGTGGCTCAGCCAGAAGAAGGCCTTGGGCTTTCTCTGGTACCCACTATCTGCCTGATGTCCCCTCTGTCCCCAAGGGACCCTGGTGTCCCTGTAGTTTCCAGAGAGGAACCTAGGCAGGCCTGTAGCTGGGGGTCAGGATCTGGCCAGCATGAGCCCATATGTGTGGGTCATCCCTGGAAGGCCCAGGCCATACCTGATACGGGTGTAGACGAGGTCATCTCTAGTGGCACAGGTCAGCAGGGCATGGAACGTGAAGCTGTGGTTCAGCAGCTGATTGTGGACAAAGACCCGTACACAGAAACAGGGAGCGATAAAATCAGAGAAAGTTGTGTCCAGAGACCCAGGTACTAGCTGTGTTCTACTACGAACAAGCTAGGGTAGATCACCCCCCTCTCTGGGCCTCAGTTGCCTCATCTGTACAATGGCAGGGGTATACTAAGTGCTTCTGCAGTATTGAGATTCTCTGCATCAGAGGGAGAAAGTGAGAAGAGCTGAAAGATGGGCGGAGATGGAGTTTTTGGTTGGTGGGAGTCAGGATAGCCAGCACTCTCCCCCTCACCGTCTGGATGGTGCCTGAGTCCACATTCAGTTCCTGTAGCCACTGCACGAGGCCCTGGTCCACTGTGAGAGCAGCTATCAAAGATAAGTCAGGTGGTGAGCCCAGGGGTGCCTCTTGCCAGAAGCTGCCTCACACCCACCATTAGTGTCTCCAGCCAGGTCCTGCTCACCGGGGGGCTCTGAGGCCCAGGCACAGGTCCTGGCCTCCCCATCCACCCGCTGTAGAGCTTGTTGCAGCAGGGCCTGGCACTCCCGTTCCTTCTCAGCCAGGACATCTCGAAGCCTGTAGGAAGGCAGAAGGCAAGTAAAATGGAGGGGGGAGTGGGGGTGAAGTTCGTGTAGAGGCTATGAGCGAGTCCCAGGGCCGTTACCTATCAGTCTCTGCTCGCAAGAGGCCCAGCTGCACCATCAGAGGCGGGGAACCCTGCTCGGGTTCCCCGGGAAGCCGGTTCGGCTGGACCGGGGTCTCCTGCTGCTTCTGCTGGGACTCCTCTTCTTTACTCAACTCTTCTGATCTCGGTGGGACTGCCTCCTTCTCCGCCTCTGCCAATCCGAGCAGGGTGAGCTCAGGCAGGGTGAGAACGGCCATTTGGGAGCCCCAGACACCGGCGGAGGGCGCGGGGCTCTGGGCACCGGCCAGGCAGTGTCAGTATGGGAGATGTCCATTTGGTCACGCCCCCACTCGCTCCTTCCCGCCGAGGTCATGCGTGGCCCCGCCGGCCAAGCCCCCTACCGGCCTCGTTTGTGTTCGCCACACCCCCAAGGGTGACGCTCTCACCGACCCGCAGGCAGGCAGGTTCCACTCCCCCGCCTACCTGGGCCCAGCGCAGCCAGGGCTGCCCGTACAGCGCGGCTGAGCAGCGAGTCCAGCACGAACATCCAGTGTGGGCGGATCTGGCGCCTGCGGAGGATCTGTTTCACCTGGAGAGGGAGGAAGGGCGCGGCTGAGTGCTGAAACTCAAATAGAGATGGGGTTTGAGTTGGAAAGGCCTAGAAAGTCTTCTGCCGCGGGCAAGTTGGGTAGGTGGGCTTGGGGTCAAAGGAGGGGCTGGGAAGCTAGGACTGGGCAGATGTCCCTTTTCCGATGGTTCTATCTTCACTGGGAAGACATGGAATCTTACAACATCAAGTGCTTGCACATTCCCAAGCACAGGGAGCTCACTACGTTTTATTGGGCAGCCCTAACTGTGAGAAAGCTCCCTCACCGCATCCGGGAAGGCGAAGAGCGGTCCCTGCAGAAGCGCAGGCCCAAGACCCTGGGCCCGCAGCTGCCCTTGCAGCGCCCGCAGCTCCTGGGTCAGCTGCCGGCGGTTGGGAGTGTGGATGTGCGCCCTGAGGCAGCGCAGTAGCTGTTCCACATGATTCCTGCCCAGACGGGGACCCTGAGAAGGAAAAGGGTCATCAGGGCCGAACCGTGGCTTAGCGGTTAAGTGTGCGCGCTCCGCTGCTGGCGGCCCGGGTTGGGATTCCGGGCGCGCACCGACGCACCACTTCTCCGGCCATGCTGAGGCGGCGTCCCACATACAGCAACTAGAAGGATGTGCAGCTATGACATACAACTATCTACTAGGGCTTTGGGGGGAAAAATAAATAAATAAATAAATAAATAAATAAAATTATTTTAAAAAAAAAGAAAAGAAAAGGGTCGTCAGCGGGTATTCCCACCTGAGCCAAGAGAGATGCTGGTGGAGGGGGTGGGGGAGACCATCAGCGGGAGCCCTGTCCGCGCTTGACCACCAGGGGGCGCTGGGGCGGGCCGCCCACCTGTTCCTGCTCCAGGCGCAGATTCTCCGCCAGCGCGGGCAGCTCCTGCTCCAGCACCGCGGCCAGCATGGCCCGGCGCTTGCTCTCTTGGTGCAGCAGGCTCAGCCCCGAACTCTCCTCAGGGGACGCGGGCTCCTCGGCCCCGGGCTCCTCAGGCACCCTGGGTGCAACAGGGAGCAGCCAATGGGGGGCGGACAGCAACGCCGTCCAGTCACCTCCGCCCCAGCGTTTGAATCCTGGCTCTGTTTTTTACTTTAATAACTACCTCACAGGGATAAAAGAGATAAACCTGGCATAGAGGGGGCACAATAAATACAAGTTAAGAGCATTTGGGAGGTAGGCACCACATGCCAACCTTGTAAGTGGTCATTGTGGCCAGGTCCCCAACGAGGGCTTTTTCTGGAGCGAGTACAAGGGTAAAACCCGAGGAAGCAAACCCACCCCAGAACCCTGGGCTCTCACCGGAGCTGGCTGGTGTCTCCATAACTGAGGCAGCGCTTCGGGGGACTGGGCGAGTGCTGAGAGGGTGCTTGAGGGCGTGGGAATGTCTGGGACTGTGTGGTCGAGTCAGCTGAAGGAGCAGGGCTGGCTGAAGGGTTATCTGAGGGAGGGACAAGGCTGTCAGCCTGGGGCCCTCTTCAGCCCTCTCACCTCCACAGCTCCTCTGCCCTCACCCCAGTGTGCTCACTCCCTCCACCTGCGTAGTACCTGAGGGCCGTGGAGCATGTCGGGGGGAGCCAGGGCTGCGGCTCCTCTTCCCAGGCTGCAGGAAGGGGTCCCCCAGCAGTGCCTGCGCACTGGCTCGGAGGCGGGGTTCTGGCTCAAAAGTTCGGAGGAGGAAGGCTTGGGCCTCAGCTGACAGAGAACTGGGCATTGGCGGATGCACCTTGTACATGCCCACCTGGGAGGGGGGCAGGGAGGGTAAACAAAGTTTAGAGGTGTTCAGGGCCCAGTCTGTCCCCACCCCACCTCATGAGCCAGGCCCTGAGGGGTCTCACCTGAAACATGGCAGCCTGCGGGCTCCCTAGCTCGTGGAAGGGCGGGCGACCTGTGGCCATCTCGATTACAGTGCAGCCCAATGACCAGATGTCAGCCGCCTTCCCATACCCTCGTGGGCCCTGGTCAATGATTTCTGGGGCCATATACTGTAGGGTTCCTAGGACAGGAGCAGTAGCAATAATGCTCATCTAGCCTTTATCACTGCAGGGGTGGCAGGGGGGGTCTATCATCCCCTGGCCACCTGCACCCACCCTGAACTCTATCATCCAAAACAGTTCCCATCACCTACCCTGGTCGTCAAACATCTACCCTGAGTTTTCTCACTCATCTTAGGCTCCAGCACGTTCACAGACTCCATCACCTACAGCAGGTTCATCATATATCCTGGATTGCATCATCCACTCTGAACTCAATCACCCACTTTGGCCTGTGTCAACACTTCTGGACTCCATTTCAGGCACTAAACTCAAAGTCATCAGCTATCCAAGATCCAATTCTAGATTCCATCGCCTCACCTTGGCTCAGTCACTTGCCCTTGGTCCAACTCCATGCCCAGAAGAAACCCCCATTCCCTGGAAGGCCCCAAGAGTTCTTCTGCCCCAGGTCAGCAACTCCATTCCCCAACACACACTCTGTTACCTGTGAAAGTCTCAGTGCAGGGTGTGATGCCTGCCAACCGCTTGGAGGTGCCGAAGTCGGAAATCTTGAGCAGCCCGCTGTAGGTGTTGATCAGCACATTGTCCCCCTGAGCAGAGTGGACATTGTGCTCAGTGGACATCAGGCTAGGCTCCTGATGCCAGAACTGGACCCTATCCGGAGATCCCATTTCCTAGGAATCCTAGCCTGACCCTGCCTCTATCAACTTCCTCCCCTGCCATCCATTTATGCCCCTCTGGGAGCTGGCCCCTGGTCTGGCTTCAGATCTGAACTTCTCTCTTTCTCTAGGGAGCCTCCTTGATGAATTCCCCACCCTTTGCAAAGGGTCTGCCCCCTTAGTCTAAACTGCCAGCCTGTCTGGGGCCATATATCTTCCTTCTCCCACCACCACAACCAGTGACCCAGGGTGGGCCAGCTACAGGGCTTACCTTGATGTCTCGATGCACAATGTGGTTGTCATGCAGGTAGCTGAGTCCCTGCAGGATCTGGCGGGTGTAGAAACTGATGGTGCTCTCATTGTCCTGCAGAGGTCCCCAAACTG